GTGCAGCGGCCTGAGGTGTTGCACGTTACCTGTCATGGTTTGTGGTATGTCACTTTCATTTGCTTTAAGAATTAAGTAGAATGGACCTGAAGTCCAAAACCTCAGTGATGAATACTCTGTAGTAGTTAACTGTTTATCTACAGCAGTCATCTTGACGTTTGTTTTGTTTGCCTTAAAAACATGTAATTCATCTTCCTCTTGCTTAAAAAATGATTAGGAAGTATTCAAGTGTTCACTAGGTGATGAGACTTCAAGGGGGGTTCATCTGTGTTCTTTGCTGAAACTATGACAGTTTCCTTGCCTAGTCTCTTTCTAACTGGCAACAAAAGAACAGCGGCATACCCCACATCTCACCTTAAGGATGAGTGCAATAGTTAAAGACTGGACCAGCTAACTCAAGATTGCAGATTTAGGTCTCAGATTGGGCTTTGTTGTTGTAAATTTTGAATCCGTCTATTTAAAAAGGATTGAAATTGTTATTGTGGAAGTCCTTGTCCAGATCTGCTTGTTCCAGTTGGGGGCGGGGGGTTACACAGACATCCCTGCCTAAGGAGGTTCCAAGCACATGGATATTGCCTGATATGAAGAATGATGACTGTGGAAGATATTTACAGAGCTTTTCTAAAATCTCAGATCAGAAACCGCTTTTATAATGCAAATGAACTGAGTTTCTGTTTTGGATTAGTTGTTTCCTGTATCTCTTCAGTAGTGTCTCATAAAATGTTTATTTTGAAATGATAATGAAAGCATATTTATTCCAGAAGTAGAGGCATTCAAAAAAAAAAACTTTTGTAACTTGTTTGTTTTGATACCTCTTGTGTTTTAGTTCCCACCATGACTGAATTTACTTGTGTTAGAGGATGTAGACAAATTACATTGCCGCACAAGATGCTATAAATACATAGGTTTATATAATTCTACTGTAACTTTTTTCCCATTGGATAAAAATTATTGATGATAATGGAATGAAAGGAAGATGGTGATTCCCATAAAAATATGATCTAGTTTGACAAGTCAATGACTAGTTTATGTTGAGAAGCAAAGTTCTTACTGGTTTTAGTTGCTGTGAACTCTGATCCTGACTGAGCTCAGTCTCTGGATTCTCAGTGCCAGCAGGTGCTTGGTGGTTGTGAGAAAGAGAGAGTTGGGTGACGTGAGATATTTTATATTTATTATTTCCACCTGCACTTTCTTCTTCATGATGTGCAGATTGGCTCCATTCTGATTTGTTTTGCCCCCTATAACCCAGATACTAATCGGCGCCAGTCACAAAGCCTGTAATCTGTGAAATCATCTCCCTTGTTCAGCCCTGCTGCATCAGACCCATATTTGTTCATTTGATTTCTTTGTCTCTCTTTGTTTTTGAACTCATTAATTCTGTTTGTGTCATCTTAGCCCAAACCTACACCATCTTCATCTCTGGAATGGGAAAATTTTGTACATGAACCTGGTTCTTCCTGCCAAGTTCTTCTGTCAGACAGCTCTGTTTGTGGTCCCAAGTAGAAATGCTCACGTAGCGCTTATGACTGAGCTGTGGTCATTTATACCAGTGCCTAGTAATTGAAGTATTATTGGCTGGTAAACCGCCAGTTTGAATATATCTGTAGGTTTAACGGGATGTCCACATCCTGGTGCTCAAACACAACTGATCGTCAGTGGAATTGCAGCAATAATGTTCTATGTGATCAGTAATAGCACCTCCTGTCTGGAACCTCCTTAACCCAAGCTCTCAGTTGTCATATTCTGTGGTAACGGGGTCCTGCTCCTGTTGACATCCATTTAAGCTCTGAAGAAATCCATTGCTATCAGCTGTGTGGGAAATTATCATGGAGATTGGAAGAAAGTACACAACACACATTGTACTTCATGTAGCAGAAAGTACACGACACACACACAGTACTACGCATAGCATATGCTCTACACTTCATTTAGTGAAACATGGTTAAAAGCATTTGAATATTGCCTGTTGAAATCTAGCATTAAACAAGATTGGTTATCAAAGGATGCTTAGAAAATAGAACATATACAGTATACAGTATATGAATTAAATTAATATGGCTTTATTTGATTTAATTGGACAATTCATTGTTCTCCTATTATTGTTATCCTATTTTTTCTTACAAAATTCTACACAAAAAGATATACCTTTTATGTTGTATTTTTTTTTCTTCCTGCCTTTTTCAATTTATTGTTTTGCTGAATTGGGTCATTTCCGTGGAACAGAATGAGCTCAGAGGCGGGGGATAAATTACATGACTTCCAGGCAGTGACGGCTGGAGATGTGGTGTTTTTGCGGCCACAATGTGTCACTTGTAGAGCTCCACCCCTCTGGATGGTGTGTGGAACCCAGTCTGTCCACCAAATGTTTTTGTTCAATCAGCGGTCTGAGATAGGTACTTTCAGAGTATTTATGGCTTAAAAAAACACACTGTTTACCTTGGATCTCATCCCTGTCTGTCAGAACTCACACAAGAGCAAACTTACAATTGAGTGCGCTAAACTGAGCAGCTAGCCAGGAAATGTAGGGGAAAAACTGCAGACATTAGAACTTTAACTGAACATGAATTCATCTGAAATTGTGGTTTTAAGCCAAGCTAATCCATCTGTTGTGCATGAGGTCAATTTAAACACATGTTGCATGCCTTTGCCTTTTAAGGTTGAAGTGGCCTTGTCTTCTGCACATTCTCTGATTTGTAACAAACTTAAACATGGAAGAGAAATAAAAGGGTGGCACTTTTTCACATGTTAATATAGCAATTAATTCATATCCCCCAACCCCTCCTTGGCTGGGTTTTATGTCTGTAGGGTAGGGCTAAAGGTAGCGTAGCACTTGATGTACTAGCCAGTGCATCAGTGAGTTTGCGATAGCCACAGGCTCCTGTTGTGCAAGGTGTTAGCTGTTGTCATGGTGCGCACTGGCACGCAGGAGTGGGAGGCACAGCCTTTGGTGCTTTTTGGGAGCAATGGGAAGCAGGTGCCATGCAGTGAGAGTAGCATGAATAAGAACCGTCCACAGTAATAGCCCTGATAATTGTTTTTTGCCTGGAACATCAGCTTCTCTGGTCCGTCTGTTTCCCTGGACACTTCACAGAGTGATTAGTGATGCCAAGTTTCTTCCACTCTGCTTGTTGGTCTCTGCGATCTGGGCAAGCCCATATGGTAATCTCTGAGAAACGACACAAGTTGGGGCGTTTTCACTGCTCCTTTGTAACCAATCCAAATCCCTGCTGCAAATCTATATGCAGTTACTTCAGTACCATGATAGGGACTGGTGTTGTGGTTTTTTTTTTTGTGGTGTCAGATGCATGGTCCTTTTGCATCAGCAGTGCCATGTTTGAGGTGTAGTTTTCCCAAACCTAAGCGTTCATAAGTGTTATTCCATAATTAAAATACTCAGGTTTTGTGCAATGTTAACAGTACCTTCCATATTACGCTAATATGGTCCCTGGTAAGCATGACTCGCTAGCATGAGCTGGGCACGGTGTTAAAAAGTGATCCAGGTTTTGATTTTCTTTATGGAGAGAGATTATAATTCCAGTAGGAACATCTGTGCTGCCTGATCCAAAGGCTTCCATTTCCACTAGAGCTGCGCTCAAATTAAGAGGGTAACCCTACCATTAGCTCTGGTTCATTGCCAGCACCTCATATATGTGATACCATTTTCATTGCACAAGGCAGTCTACGAACTTATTTTCTCCTTCTTCCTCGACCATTTTCCAGACCCTGTCATTAAGTTAGTTAAGTCCTCCATCTGTGCCTGATGGACTGACATATGCAGAAAAGGAGGGATTGTGTTAGAGGGGAGTGCTGCATTTGAGGGCCTCAAATGTTGGGTGGGCTCCAGCTGTTTGGGTTGCCTCAGTCAGCTGCCTTTCATCCATCCTCTCCCCAAACCTGATCCCACCCCATTCCAACTCAAGCTAATCCAATGTAGTTAAATCAGTGTTTCTTAAGCTGTTCACTTGTTGGTGTTGTTAGCTTTAATTACGGTATACCAAAAAAATTGAATTGACAGAATTCTCTTTGCTCTCTGTACACCTCTTGGTCTTTCTCTCTTTTAGCTTATCATCCTGGAGGACTATGCTGACCCCTTTGATGCAGAGCAGGCTGGGGTGGGGGAAAACACCTCAGAGAAGGTGCCAGAGAATGATGGCTACATGGAGCCATATGAGGCCCAGAAGATGATGGCAGGTAAGATACGGCTCATTGATTCTTTGCCAGGAACCCTGTGGAATTGGGGCTTATGGACCCATTCAGACACGTTTTGCTATGTCCTCGTTACTACAGGCCTTCCATACACTGACTAGATGGCCACTGTGAAGGACACTGTCTTGTTTGACTACTTTGATTTATGTCATTGGTTGGGTTTCATTAACTGCCATTTTTAGAACTTCAGTTAGGACATTAGAAACTCAGGAAGGGATCCCTTTCATAAGCCGCATCTTCAGAGATGTATTTCGCCAGAGCCATTCTACATATGTGCCTGTAGTAAGTGACTTATCCTGTGTTTCAGTGCTGTAATAACAAGCTCACTGTTTTATTGCAGTGTCATTATAGTAATGGTAATTTATTCACTGTGCTACATGCTCTCAATTATACACCAAGCATAGTCTTTCAGAAGAGATATACATTTATCCCTGTGTCCCATTCTCCATGGTGATATGATGGAAAGAAAGAAAGAAAGAAACGGCAATTCTCGTGTGACCTTTTGCAAACTCTACTGAAGTTGCAACTTAGCAATTATGGCTAGCTACCATACCAGTCTCCTCCCTTATCCATCAAAATTGAGATGGATCCGTGACGTTTCCCACTTGAATTTGAAAGGACTGCCGATTTTGGCCTGTTGCAGAGAAGCTATTTCACTTCAGTAGAGAGCACATGCTGTGCTTGAAAGAGCATTTTTGCTTGCTTTAAGGGTATTTCCCTAAAAGCCTCACGTGCAATGCTTTGCTCTCATTTGGGAGATTTGTGCTTAGTATTCTGAAGGGGGATGCTCACTCACACCAGTTAGGTGAATGTCATCTCAATAGTAAATCAATTCTTCTATTGTACTTCCTATTTTCCATAGTAAGAATGAAGGTGAAATGGAAATGGCATTTTTTCAGGAGGGCAGGCTTCCACCTGATCACTGAGATTTTCACTGAATGCAGAATTGAACAGGTATCGCTGGTCCAGTTTGCTTCCCTTATGGAAGGAGACAACTGGCACTAATGGCTCCAGCACACTACCAAATCTAGAACCTGATTCAGGATTTTCACATTTTTTGAAAATAATTGTCATTCTGCCTTTGGAGTAGGAGTTCTGAGTAATGGATTCACTGTGGCATGAAAACTGCTCTCATGCCAGGTGCCATCTTCCACTCGGCTGCGCTCCCTTGGGGATAACAGCACATTTATCCTTCCTAAAAGTCTTAAAAAGAGCCTTAATAGGCCTTGTGTCATTCTCTAGTTCAGTCACAGACATGCCATTTTGTCTGTCTCAGTGTACCTTGTGACTTTTGACCTTTAATTCTGTTTCTGCATGTAGGGCAGGGCATTAAGATTTAATGCCACTAGTTCATATTCTGCTCTATTATTTTACATTTTCCCTGCCTTTTTTCAGTTGTGATATACAGTTAACTCAAGACTCTGAATTCTCATTTTACTCAGATGCCATTTAGTTATAAACCACTGAAAACCCAAAAAAGGAAGAAAACAGTCAATCTGTTATCACAGTGGACCCTTGGGCTATAAAGATACTAATTCTTACTCTACGGTTGGTGAATACATTGCCCTTTTTTTGGGTCTTACTAGGTGCTGTTCAGTTTTGTATTAATTGAGTTCCTTTAAAGCTCCCTAATGCTAAATCAGGCAGTAGGAGGTCTAATGTCTGTCCTGCGGGTTTTAAGTGTGTCATCAAACAAGTAACATCTGCTGGGGTGAATTTTCACACACAGGCAAGAGTTTGGGTAGTGTTTCAGGGAGCAAGATCAATAAACTGGGCATAATTACATTTAGTATTTTTTTCCATTGTTATTTAGTTTTTGATTATGTAATTGTAATTTGCTTGTTTTGTGCCTGTCCTTGCCATGGTAGCTTTCAGTTCACTGGTCGCAGTTTAATTGTTTTGCGATTACAGCCCTAAAGGAGGAGGTGGGTAGGAGCCAGCTTAGCCACAACATAAGCGGTTCAGCAGAGCAAATCATCTCAACAAACACCTCAGCAGCAGTTATACTGTAGGTGAAATCACTTAGTGGTTCAGTTGTTGTAGCCTTTAATGGAATGTGTCTTAACACTTAAATTGGTACACCACGTGTATTAAAATGTCAGTGTGTTTTGTAGGGAGACTCCGATCAGGGATTTGGGGGAAATTGCTGATTGTGATCATTGGAAGCATAATTGGCCGATACCGATTGCTGTGAAAATAAGATAAAATGAAGAGGCTTAAGAACGAACCTCAAACTGGTTTAAAAAATGTTTTCAACATTTAACAGAAAGACAGCCACTTAGTACCACAAAAAATAATTTAAACAAAGCAGGTCAGAATTTGGGACTTGGTGACAGGCCTGTGCTTTTCCAAGAAACAAAGGCTGATTATCTATCTATCTGTCTGTCTATCTGTCTGTCTGTCTCGAAATATAAGCATCTGTGGATATTTTGGAGAGGGTCTGTTCCTTTTCTCATCAAAAATTTGCGCTATACCGAATAACCGCAAACCTTCCACACTCGTACACAAAGATAAACCTGGGCACTCATATTTCTCGTACTCCTCTCTGTGATGACACAAATGTCTAATGAGGTTTGTGGTGTTGAATGCTTCAGCATATGATCGTCTGTGAAAGACTTCATTTGCACATATGTTACAAATTGCAAACCTATTTTCTTATGGTTTTTGGTAACACTGACAGACTGGAGACGACATAGTGCCAATGTTGTGCTTGAAACTTTCTGCACATATTTTAAGTAATCAACACACATATTGGTATTTGAGATCTGCCAAATTAAAGGCCACCGATTTGAGTAATTAAGACTGAAAATCAGCCGATTGAAATTGCCTGACTCAATCGGAACATCCCTACTGTGTCTGTTTGTGTCAGGGTCAGTTCACTGGTAATGCTAAGTCACATGTATTGTATGTTGATCAATTTGCTCTCTGGGTCAGACGTTTCTTTGAATTGCTTTGTGAATAAAGGAATTTGCTTTTCTTTAAGATGCTCTCGTTTCTGGAAGCGTGTTGCAGTGTGTATCAATTGAACCCGGCTCACTCTTTTGGGGGCTGTATACAAACATAGGGACATCACCTGTTCTGCACCAAATTCATAGAGCACCGATGTGTGTGAAGAGTGCCTCAAGAGTGCATAAAGCAAAATTTGTGGTTAGGATACTCTTTTGGTCTGAAGGCCTATTGAAGACAGGGTCTAAGAGTGCCTGAGTGTTCTCTATGTTTCTGAGTGAAATATGGTTTCGTCTCACTGTTGGAGGAATCCTGCAGGGTAACTTGAACTAGAATGCATGCTTGCCGTTTCCTGTTTGCATATTAAATATTTCTGTCCATAAAACAGAAAGTTTTCTTTGATTAATAACAAAAAGACAAAAAACCCATAATGTAAATCCTCCTGTTCCGTTCCTGTGTTACGAACAACACCCGGGTGACTGAGAGACGGACTCCTCTATAATCCACCTTCTTCCTTTGCAGGGCTCCAGAGAGCTTCTGTCCTGGTGATTTATTAACCTGCTGGAAATGGATGTCATGACTTACTAACCTTCAAAGTCCTGTGGTTAATCCCTGCCTCCCTTCCTCCATGGGGAGCTGTGTGTGTGTGTGTGTGACCACCAGCTTATGTACTTCTATCTCAGATATCACAGTTTTGTGGCATTCTGCAGTGTGTGGATCTGTGTTTAAAACGTCAGCATGGTATAATGTACAAACTCCCTCCCACACTTATCTTTCAACTGTTTTTCTGTTGACTAGTCTATCTCAGTGATGCATCTCTGCTCACGCTGTACTGGCTGAGACATTTGCTCCTCTTAGTTGTCAGTCCTACCCTTTGTTTTTTAATGTTCCAGTGTTCCATTCCAATATTTTGGAATCCTAGCTATTCCAGGTATGGCCAATGAGAAGCCTGGAAAATTCTTTCACAAGACTACAGTGATTTAAAGTCTGTTATCTTTACCCCATTATAGCTGTCGTGACCTGTCAGGAACAGGCAGGGTCAGATGGGTTTATGCTCCCAAATTTTTTGATGCAGGTACTTTTCTTCTCCTCTCACTGGTTACAGGTGTGCTCTTGCTTTCGTCTCTACATACTCATTCCTGAAGAGCTTCTGCCACTGTGAGACTTGTTCTTTCAGTTGAAAGTTGTGCAAGCGGCATATGTGTCTGTTCTGGAGAGCATGTAGCCTGTGGGACGGAACTGAGGTGAAAACAGGTTCTTCATGATTAACTAGAAGTATGTCTAGTGTTATCACTATTTGTACATAAATTACCGCCCCACTTCTCCAAAGAAATGTCACCTCGAGGTAAACAACACAGCCACACTGGGAAGTCTTTCATGTCTCATGTCGAGCTGAATGGAGTCTATTCCCCCAGTTGGGAGGGAGCAAAAATGTAGACTGTCTGACATGGAGCTCAGAGGGAGCAAAAATATGGACCAGCTGTGGGTCCCCAAGGTTCGGATTGGAAAACATTGTCCTACAGGTTTAGGGAAGTGTATAATGAACACATTTCCCACTGCGGGTCCTCATTTCCAATGCCTGTAACTAATGAATTGTGCTAAGTGTCACTTGATGTCATTTTTTTGTTCTCTCACTCCAGCGACTATTGGTGGGTATATGCTACAAAAAGTTTTTCTAACTCATGATGACAACCATCTGCAAAAAATTAAGTACTATGTTGTTGACCAGATGTGCAGTTTCTATACTATTTATAAAATTACACGTTCTGATACATTGCTCCTAAGCTCTGCTGCTGTGCAGTCAAGCTGCATTTGAGCATTTTTGAATAGTGCTGACATACTGCGGTCAGGCTGGTTATCTCTGCTGAAGTTTAGCATATTTCTGGCTCTGCCTTTATTTACTGGGGTACTTTCAGATGCATAAAAAAGGAGTTCATTATGCAGAGTGGTTTCTGAGTATTTCATATTAGAAATTCTCTCAAGAGAAGGCATAGAAACTGTGGTTTCCATGGATTCTGCTTTAGTATTTTACAAAATTT